GAAATGCTAAAACCAAATAGGATGAACCCTGGTAACATAAATTAATCGATTTTAAATTATTCTCAAGTCTGAGCCAATCTACTCATACTAAGGAAAGGTAAATGAGAAATCTACTATTTATAGGATAGAAGTGGTATATTGTAATACTTTAGACAGTCACCGCATCAGAGAGACATCGATGAACGAACTCTGTCCGAAGTCTTTTGATTTAGTCGTCATAAGCAATGAACTTGGTACGTCTTCTGACGCCCAGCAGACACCATCACTTAGTCTTGCTATTCTTAGAGGCGATTAAGGCCCATTCCTTTGATAACCAAAATAATCTACCTTTATCAACGGGTTTAGTGAGACAATATCACGCCTCGCACTGCTTTACTTTCCCTCCCTCTTAATGTGTGGGAAATGCTGATACGAAGTGCCCTTTTGAACGAAAATCTTGATGAGAAATTCAATAAACAGAAGATTATAAGAATACATAATCAGATATTATTACTCAAGCAAGTATGAAACAAGGGGGAAGTAGAAAGATCAAAAAAGGAGACGTCTGGATCGCGAATTTAGCTATATCCAGACGAAAAGATATTGCAAGATAAAAACAACCAGGAACCAATAGGATACAGCTGGTTTATCATAAGATTAATCTAGATGAATTATCGAACGGAGTAAAAATGTAGTATTAAGTTGGTCTATAGCGATGACGCTATATCAATTTGGAAACCAGGGCCTAGAAGCCCTGCTTGGTAACGCCATGAAATATGTACTATAAGACGCCTGAAGCAAGTCATGGGAAATAAAGCCTAGAGGTAAACGGATATGGTAACTTAAGTTTGGTTAGAATATTCTGTAGGATAAGAAATAGGTCATCTAGGACACTAAAGAGTATCAGATACGAGCTGAATGAAGTGGGTCGCAGACTAAAAGTTCAAATCAGACCGAAAATTCCAGAAAATCAAGAGGTACAGAGGGCAAGACTAATGATAACGTATCACTAAGCCTACTTAAAAAGGTTCGCCTCCTGAGCAATTTATTAAAAACAAATTAAGAGCTGTGATAAAAAAAGATATTAGATGCGAATACAGGAGATAGGTGATGTATAAGGACACAATCGTCAAGAAAAGTTGGCCAAAAGATAAACATCACCTGTTTCTGATAAGTTACAGCTTGATGAGAAGACTGACAAGGCCTTCTGACCATATCGATAAAGCATTAGGGAATGCACTAGAAATTATGATAAATAATATGGTGGACTTTCAACCCGATGCGTTCATCGAGCCAGCCCTTAGGACGCCACCATGTTGCGAAAGTTAGATTAGACCATTCCTGTATAGTGAAGTTTGGCACTAAAATAGAGGATTCAACGTTTTGTTATTTATATCTGCAATTTACAATACATGTTTTAGGATCATCTGAAACAAGACTTTCTATTAAATAGAAGCAAAACAATCCAAAAAGGCATTAACGCATAACCAGATTTATTTACTGTTAATTTATGAGCTAGCTTTCATCATGTGAACAAGACTCGTCTGAACTTGAGTGAGTCCAGTACGCCAATTGAGCAATGTCTCATATAGATTTTTCCATTGGGCACGTCCAAAATTACGCGGAAGTGCTCCGGTTACAATGATACGCCGCTGAACTTGATCTAATTTACAACTGATGATGCGTTGGCGGACTGCTGAAATATTAAGTGAGAAAATTTAATTTATTTAAATAAATACTGACGACAATAGGATGAAGGGTATACAGCAAAAACGCTCTCTCACCTTCAATAATAAAAAATTCCAGTTTCTCCTCTTCAAGTTTCAATTCTTTGGCAACTGTAGCGTAGTCCAGCTCAGATGACTTCTCTGCTAATTCCATAAGAGTGAGCATTCTGAGTTTATTTAGACAAGCTTCTTCTGATAAGTCGTTTTGTTTGATAAAATCAGGGTGCTTTTCAATAAATTGGGCTAAGTCTTGCAGAGTACCATTAACAAATATAGTAAGAAGCTATATATTACACATAATTTAAAGTACCTTATGAACGGGTTCACCTTCTAGGAATTGAATTGGTTTGATGGACAAGAGCTTATCGTGCGCTAGGATAGCAACATCATTGATG